AATCATGCCAGAGGAGGTAAACCTGTTCGAACACTTCATAAAATAGAAGGTGTATGTCAGTTTCTTATCTCTTGTTCTATTAGAGGAGAAATGTTTAAAAACGTGCTATGTGATTCTGGAGCTTGTCTTAACATGATGTCCAAGGCAATTGCTTTGAGACTTGGTATTAAACACCTGCGCAGGACTAGAGCAAAGATCAGTCTAGCTGATGATTCAAATGGAACACCTCAATGAATAGCTCATGAAATTCCTTTGAGAATAGGAGATTGCATAGTGCCTGTCGACTTCTACATTGTCGAGACAAGAGATGCAACATATCCAGTGATTCTCGGATGGTCTTTTCTAGCAACTTCCGGAGCTATAATGGACTGGCCAAACCGGAGGATTTTATTTGCTAATATCGACAAAGATGTCTTCACAGAAGCTGTTCCATACAACAGCAAAGCAGGAAAACGTTCTGCAGCAGAAAAGTTTGAAGAAGAACTTTGGAGTGACGAAGAACCTGCTAGGCAAAGCAAGGAGATGTCGAAAAAGACTTGTCTCAGGACAAGGTCTTCTTCATCAGACTAAGCAACGTCCAACACCAAAAGTCGAGCTAAACGACTTAAAATAGAAGCGCTTAATGGGAGGCAACCCATTTAGGTATTGTTTTCTTTAGGATTTTTTCTTTCTTTTTCTTTTGATCTTTTTTTTTTTCTTAGTTTCAGGTGTTTCTTATAAAACAAAAAAGCCAAAAAATAAAAAAAACCCGAAAAAACAAAAAAAAAAGGATGGTACCTGACTGCTCGGCCCAGTAGGAACCAAGGAGAAGCAGGAAGAGGCCGCGAAATAAGCCCCCACGGTTGCAGACGTTCTGACCGCGGGAAACGTATCATCGACCGCGGTCGCGTGATCCTGACCGCGGCCAAGCACTTGTTTGCCGCGGTCGCATGACTCCTGACCGCGGCAATTGGTCGTTGAGATCAAACCCGACCCCAAACCACCCACTTCACCCCATTCCATCTCACCAATCACCCTCCACCTCATTCATCACCCTCCACCACCTTCATCACCACCTAATCACCTTCCCAAACCTCTTCGAATGAATCCGGTTCATCTCCACCAGCATCCCGGATCCAGGTAAGTTCTCTTTGTCCTTACCAATTCGATTATCTATGCATTTTTCTCATCCAATCTCGACTTGTTTCACACTGAGGACAGTGTGATTTAAGTCTGGGGGAGGATTTCATCCCTTTCTAACCACTTTTCTTTCATGAGTCTTGCATTATCTACACTTTCTGCATTTTCCTTAAAGTTTTTCAAAATCGGTTTTCAAAACAAAATACGTTTTAAAGGGAATGATGAACATGAATCAATGATAGTTGACTGTGTGCTTTAGAGTGTTCCTAGTGACTTGCTCATTCATGATTTAGGACTAGACTAGGCGGTAGCTAAGCACATTTGAAACGAAGTACCCCAGAGGAATTTGAATGATTTCGATTTAGATGAAGGGATACACTAGCTCTGTTTTATTTGGACTTAATTTGGACTTAATTTTCTCATTGAAGCTTTAGACCAGGGAAACGAATCATACATCCAGGACTCCTTTATCCTTTTACCACTCTCAGTTGATCCTGAATGGCTAGTTCATCTTTAGCTAGTTCCCCACCTTAACCAATCCTCTTTCAAACCACATGCACTCTTGTTTTCTATTGTCTTATATGCAGATAAGTGCAAAAACGTTGGAGAGAAAGAGGAACGACGCAGTTTTCAGTCACCAAGGACAGAGACCTGCGATTTGCCGGAAAAGTTCCCGGAAGGATTCAACACAAGAGGAAGCCCGGTTTGCCTTAGAAAAATCTCAAATTTTGGTACAATCTCGTCCTCTAGTCTCTCTCTCTTTAAAAGGCATTTCCTTTTCAAAAAAAAAAAATTCCAAAAATAAGAAAAGAAAGGAAATGAAAGCCTTAGAGAGTCTAGAGAGGTCGAATTCTAAGTCCCAAGGCAACTGGAGTTCGATTTTATGGAGTTTTGGAGATTGTTTTCTGATTCCCGGAAATAACCTAAGTCTAGGGAAACAGCTGTTTACAACAAAGGAGGAAGGATTATGCAACAACATTTAGCAAGAAGAAGTGACTGAAAACTGTGGTCATCAACAGGTCCTTATCTCTCTTGCGGTTTTGCATATTATCTTGCATCCTCCAGATCTTCAGGTAAACCGAAATACTTTAACTCCACCACTTAAACAGCCCTTTAATGCCAAACGCCATCTACCCTGGATGATGTCTTTAATGAGAACTCACTATTGAACTTAATGAATGTAGAGAGCTAGTTGACAGGAATCAAGATTTAAATTGTTTAAGTTTTGCATGACGGAAAAAGTGGACTAGCATCTCTTGTGCATTGGTGAGAATTTTCTAGACTAAGTTGTGGATTGATGCACTATCTTTGGTCCTAGTTTAGGAGTTCATGTCTATGAGATTTGTGCATTCCCTATTTTTGTTTTCACTTGACCAGTTTAGGCTTTTGCTTTGTTTGAGGACAAACAAAGGTTTAAGTCTGGGGGAGTTGATAACACCGTATTTTGACCACTTTTATGGATCGTTTTGAAATACTTTTTCTATGTTTTTAATTGCTTTTAAGTACTTTTATCACGTTTTTCTAGTATTTGTAGTTCCAAAACTCTTTTCAGGTAACTTAGAGAAAAACTTAACAAAATGGATAGAAAACCAGATTTCAGCTCAGAGTCAAACCGTCAGAAGTTCACCCCTGATTGAAGGCCTTCTCACCGTCTGATCCAGCTCTAATTTGGAGACCTTAAAGATGGAAGTATCAGCTTTCCAGCACACTTTACAGCTTGGAAGAAAAAAATACATGTATTAGGAACCCTATTTCGATGATATGCTATATTTCTTATTGTTTTAGAATACTTTTTAAGTTTTAGGTTTTAGGGAGTAAGAGATTTGTCTCTTGAACCCTTGTTCTTTCTTTTTCAATTTCGGTTTCTATTCTACTTATTAATACTATGTTTTTGATTTCGTTCATTATGTCTGAGTAGTTTTATTGATGGGATTAAGGGATTTTTCGATGGGGATTTATATGTTCGATGAGGATTCCATGAGCTTTTGAGCCGAATCTTAGAACTTTTTCTTCTGAATTCGTTTTTACTGCATGAGAGTAGCGTCATGAACTACAATCTGATCCAGATGCTTGGTGACACGAAACTGTTCATCCGGTGTCAGATCTAGTTTGAGAGAGCAAAAAACCATAGGAGTGGAAACCTACCTATGGGCGATTTTTGAATGCTGACGAGTCTTAAACATAATGCATCTCTTCTCTTCTAGGGCTAGAGTGGAAACCTACTGGTCAGGGTTGAGAGAGATAGTTGTCTATGATCACGACAGTGGCGTATTCATACGTCCGTGACTCCAGTTCGAAAAGTTTAAGCTAAAATCTATCAAATTTATTCTCTAGCAATGTTTTGAATCGTTCGTTTCTCTGAGAAAACATCCTTGAACCCCAACGCCTTCTTTCCTATAGATTCACACCATTTTTATTTCAAGCTTTAGTTCAATATTCCCATTCCTTTTTAGTAGATTTTCATTTAAGCAATTAGAATATCCGTTTTTCTCATTTTTATTCATTTTCGTTAAGTTTAGTTATTAGGCCATTTAATTCCCGTAGTTTCTTTTTAGATTCCGTTTTTACATTTTAAACACACCACGAAAACCCCCACAAAACCGTTTGGTTCTAGACTTCCTTACTTTATATTTCTTTCAAAGGCTTTTGCAGAAAAAGATCCTCCTTCCCTGTGGATTCGATCCCTAAGTACTACAATCGATCAACTGTGCACTTGCGGCTATTGATTTCATTTAGGGTAAAACTTGACAACCCTCACGACAGCACACATCAGGCAACCCATCAAACAACGCAACAACGCAGAGCTCGGACAAACCCAGAAGCGGAGGTGCCCATAACTACCAAGTAGGCACTGGACGCAGAAGAGGAGAGCCGCGCAACAACATTTGGGTAAGAAAACCCACCAACTACGACGAGAAGGCATTCTACGAGTATCACCAGACCTACGGGCAATCATTGGCACAATGCCGAACTCTAGGAGCAAAACTCGCAGCTAAGATGGCGGCGGGAGAGCTCCGGAACGCGGTTAACCTCAAAGACCTCGTCCCTAATGAACCAAAAGAAGGAGCCAAGCCGGGTAGCGCGGCAGAATCCGCAAATCCTCCCCGACGGGGCGATAACACCAAGCGCGACAGGAGAGGTGGACCCGAAGAGCAACCCGAGCCGAGGCAAAGGATCAACATGATCATGGGTGAATCTCAATATTACCAAGACACGGTGTCCTCCATCAAAGCTTATCAGCGCCGAGCCAAAGCGAAGGAAAATTGGACAGAACCGATCGTTATCCCGAATACGGTGATTTCTTTCGCCGAGGAAGAAACGACAGGAATCGATAGACCACACAACGATCCACTAGTGATCGAATTGACGATCAGGGATCACGATGTAGCGAGGGTGCTCATCGATAATGGAAGCTCGGTAGACGTCATTTTTAGGGAGACACTCAGAAGGATGGGAATCGTCTCTCCGAGGTGACGGCGATTCCCAAACCTCTAACCGGATTTTCAGGAGAAACAACGATGACTATGGGATTGATTAGGCTCCCTGTGGTAGTTGGCGGAGTCACTAGGATCGTTGAATTCTGCGTCACCGATCACCCAGCAATCTACAATGTGATTATGGGAACTCCATGGATCAAAGCGATGAGGGCGGTCCCTTCCACCTATCACCTCTGTCTCAAATTCCCGACTCCAGCAGGCATCAAAACGATCTGGGGAAATCAGAAGGAGTCGCGAATGTGCTGCTTAGCGGAGCACAAGCTGAGTTACCCCGTCACCGACGCACGAGCAGACATAGATCGCAAAAAGATGAAGACGGACCGAGAGCCTGCGAACAAGCTCTCGAAACTCCTATAGCAATTACAGATCGCGGAGAGCCGCGAAATGCGCGCCGAGCCGGTATGTGATGCACTGGACTCGGTGTGCATAGACAAAGCGCGTCCAGAACGATGCGTCGAAATCGGAGCAAAACTAGAAGAGCCTGTGAGAAGCAAACTTCTTTCCCTCCTCAAAGAGAACATCAACACTTTTGCCTGGATAGTGGAAGATATGTCGGGCATAGGCATCAACGTGACCTGTCACGAGCTGAACGTGGACCCAACCTTCAAACCAATCAAGCAAAAAAGAAGGAAGCTCGGACCCGAACGAGCTAAAGCAATTAACGATGAAGTGGATAGATTGCTCAAAGTAGGATCAATCGCCAAGGCCAAATATCCAGACTGGCTTGCGAATCCAGTGGTTGTGAAGAAGAAGAACGGCAAATGGCGGATCTGTGTAGATTTCACTGACCTCAACAAGGCGTGCCCAAAAGACAGTTTCCCTCTACTGCACATCGACCGGCTCGTCGAAGTCACTGCGGGAAATAGGCTGTTAACATTTATGGAGGCGTTCTCCGGCTACAACCAAATCCTGATGCATCCTGATGATCGGGAAAAAACGGCATTTATAACTGATCGTGGGATATACTGCTACAAAGTCATGCCGTTCGGACTCAAGAACGCAGGGGCAACATATCAACGGCTCGTCAACAAAATGTTCGCGGATCAGCTCGGGAAAACCATGGAGGTATACATCGATGATATGTTAGTCAAATCACTCGAAGAGAAAGATCATATCGCGCACCTACGGGAATGCTTCGAGCAGTTGAACAAACACAACATGAAACTGAACCCGGCGAAGTGCAGATTTACGGTCACCTCGGGAGAGTTTCTCGGCTATCTGGTAACTCACCGAGGCATTGAAGCGAATCCCAAACAGATTGAGGCCTGCCACCAACAACTGCCTGCCTTTCTACGACACCCTTCGGGGAAATAAGAAATTCTAGTGGGACGAGCAATGCGAAGCATCTTTCCATGAATTGAAGAGTTATCTGGCAAGCCCGCCGATCTTGGCGAAACCAGTTGAAGAAGAGCCTCTCTTCCTCTACATCGCCGTATCTGCTACAACTGTGAGTGGGGTGCTTATAAGAGAAGAACGATCCGATCAAAAACCCATTTTCTACGTCAGCCAGACACTGACCGACGCCGAGACCCGCTACCCCCAGATCGAGAAAGTCGCCTTAGCAGTCGTAGTCTCGGCTCGCAAGCTGCGTCCGTATTTTTAACCACATTCGATCGTTGTGCTAGCTACACTTCCGCTGCGCTCGATCCTACACAGCCCGAGCCAATCCGGCCGGCTCGCCAAGTGGGCCATAGAATTGAGCGAGTACGACATCGAGTATCGGAACAGGTCGTCTGCAAAATCACAGGTGCTTGCAGATTTTCTCATCGAACTTCCGGCCGAAGCGACGAACGAGCCATTCCCAGACGCAGTATGGATGCTGCATGTCGACGGCTCGTCGTCTAAACACGGCTCGGGAATAGGAATCCGTCTCACCTCTACCACCGGAGAAATATTGGAGCAGTCTTTTTGCCTGAACTTCCACGCCTCGAACGACGAAGCAGAATACAAAGCGCTGATCGCCGGCATACGACTAGCACAGGGAATCAGAGTTCGAAAGATAAGAACTTTTTGCGATTCACAGCTCGTAGCATGTCAATTCAACGGAGAATACGAGGCGAAAGACGGACGAATGAGAGCTTACCTCAAGGTTTAACGATTGCTTCATCGTTCGACCTCACACGAATACCCCGAGGCGAAAGCACCTCGGCTGACGCCTTGGCAGCACTTGCTTCGACTTCAGACCCGGATCTCCGACGGACAATTCCAGTCGAAATCATCGAACGTCCTAGCATCGAAGAGGTAGAAGGAGTTCGGCTGATAAATCCTCCTGAGCAGGAACCAGAGAACGACGAAGCAATCGCTATGGATGAAGACGCCTCACCAGCCGAGCTGGAGTACGGCTGCGACAAAGAATGGCTCGGAGCCATCCGAGTGTATATCGCCGATGGAGAAGTACCAACCAACAAGTGGGAAGCCCGCAAATTAAAGGTCCAGGCCGCGCGATATGTCTTCGTCGACGGCGAGGTGTTTAAATGGAGATTTTTAGGACCGCTCATGACATGCATTGAAGGACCGGAGGCAAGAAAGATCATGCACGAAGTGCACAGCGGCGTGTGCGGAAACCATTCTATCGGAAGGTCGCTCGCGATCAAGATAAAACGGCACGGTTACTTCTAGCCTATGATGGTCAAGGACTGCGAGAAGTTTACGGCGAAGTGCGAGAAGTGTCAACGGCACGCGCCAACAATTCACCAACCTACCCAGCTGCTGTCATCGATCTCGTCACCTTATCCTTTCATGAGATGGTCGATGGATATAATCGGACCTCTACATCGATCGAAGCAGAAGCGTTTTCTGCTCGTCCTCACGGATTTTTTTTCTAAGTGGGTCGAGGCCGATTCTTACGCGGGCATAAAGGATGCTCAAGTCGAACACTTCTTCTGAAAAAATATCATCTGCAGACACGGGGTCCCCTACAAGATAGTCATCGATAACGGATCCCACTTCATCTCAACGCGTTTTGAAGCTTTCTTCGAGAAATGGAAAATCCGTTTGAGCAAATCTACGCCAAGATATCCTCTAGGGAACGGAGAAGCCAAAACAGCCAACAAGACGATCCTAGATGGTCTGAAAAAGAGACTCGACGCCAAGAAAGGACGATGGGCAGATGAGCTCGAAGGAGTCCTTTGGTCGCATCGGACAACTCCGCGCCGAGCCATCGGAGAAACTCCATTCGCTCTAGTCTATGGAGCAGAATGCGTAATCCCCCCGAGGTGGATTTCCCAGGTATTCGAGGAAGACTTCTGCCGGGAGAAGAAGGCTTGAATCACTTAATGATGCTGGACGAACTCGATTTGGTCAATGAAAGGCGCGACCAGGCTCTAATTCGAATTCGGAACTACCAACAAGCAACAGCGAGATACTACAACAAAAATGTCCGCAGTCGAAAATTTAAAGAAGGAGAGCTCGTCCTTCAAAAAGTTTTCCAAAACACTGCCGAGAAGAATGCAGGAAAGCTCGGAGCAAATTGGGAAGGTCCTTACAAGATTACAAAAGTAGTTCGCCCAGGAGTCTACGAACTTGCGACGGTAGCTGACGAAGCAATTCCAAGATCGTGGAATGCAATGCACCTGAAGAAGTATTATCACTAAGGTTACAACAAGGTCAACATGAACTACAGGACGGCTTGATCTCTGCAAAGGGTACGTAGGCAGCCCGTCCTCGGACGGGTTCAGCTGTCCCCCCTCCTAAAAAGGGGGGGGGAGTGGGTACGTATACACATACCTTCATTTAACTCTACAATTTTAGCTCGTTTACCGTCTCTAGGAACATTGCCACTTCGGCCAATTTTTTGTTCGTTTTAAACCAGCTACTTATTTTATGTTCACCTCGTAATTCTAATTCGTTCATTGTCGCTTCGGCTAGTTTCTCATTCGTTTTAAATCGGCTACTTATTTCATGTTCGCCTCGGATTTTTAATTCGTTCGTTCATCACTTCGGCAAGATATTATCACTTCGACAAGTTATCATGACTTGATCGCCTCGGACTTTTACTTGTCCTTGTATTCACTTCGGCAAACTAAGTCTCCAAACACCTCGCCTCGTTGCTGGCCACAGCGAGGCAACAGTCACAAAGTTCTCTAAATGGACTTTTAACCACCTTTCCTAGGACGAGGGTGCAAGTTACATCCTCTATGGATTAAAATCAAGCGCGCTATACAAATTTAAGACCAAAAACGTATCGGTCACCACGGTTCGTCATCGTACATGAGATTATAATTCGAGACTACATCGCTTTCTCTAAAACCGGAACGAACTCTTAAAACCCGGCTAAATCTCTTAAAACTCAGGAACGCCGGTCTATAATCAAACTTTGATATCGTCTCAGGACGTAGACCTCGGCAACAAGAGATCCAAACTTAGCGCTTCAAACGGCCAAATACCAGATCCGATCTGAAATGCCTCACACTTTTTCTCTCTTTCCTAACTCAAACGCCTCGACACTAACGGTGGAAGGCAGAAAGGAACTTTAGTTTCTTTTAAGAGCTACCTAAAACGAAAACGCTCCACGAATCAAATCCCAGCTCGGGATTTAGACTTAAACAGAATCCTTAACAACTTGTCCCTTAGCCCGTTTTTCTATCGATCTTTCGTAAACAGTTCGGCCAAGGAAGCAATCGAAAGCATTCCCAACACAGCTCGATAACGATAACTCGTTCCAAACAAACAGTTTTCGTCAAAAATTCATCGAGGACAAACGCATCAAATACAACAAAAAATCAATAAGTCAGGTGGATAAAGCCGTCCAGGCATCAGTTACATAAAAGTTCGGGAAACGGATAAAGTCATCCAAACCTTAAATACAAAAACACATGAGACAGATGATAAAGGAAAGAGGAGAGAATCAAGCCGCGGACTGCGTTTCACGCTCGGCAAGAAAGTTTGAAAGGGCTGGCGTACCCGCATTCGATCCGGTCGGATCTACGACACCCAAGTTGGCCGCTGTCTCTTCGAGCGGCTCTTACCAAGACTGGTGTCTACAGAGTCTGGCAACACGGGCGAGAAGACCAACTCACCTCGTCGTCGGCGTACTCGCTATCCCAGCTTTTTAACTTCGCCTCCTCATCGTCGAGCGTTGGGCCGTCAGGTTTCCTCAGATCGACGATCATCGCAAGGTTGCCCTTGATTTGCCCCAACTCGTTCTCATCGGTTTTGGCCTTCTCGAGCTTGGTCAGACCTTCCTCCACCTTGGCAAGGCATTCCTGAAACTTAGCTGTTAGCTCTCGCCTCGCTTCCTTCTTCGCACGCTTGACCTTAGCGTTAAACAAGGCATTCTTGGCCTCGATACACCTCTTAAGCAACGCCACCTCGGCGCTTTTGGCTCTCCTAGCCTCCTCGAGGCGAATGACCGAGGCGGAAACTTTGTCGACATCTGCACGAAGAACTATCTTCTCCTCTTCCAGCCTCGACACCCTGGTCATCGCCTCGTCCAGCTTCCACTTCGCCGCTGCGGTCTCGTTCCGAGCCTCGTCCAGGCGACTTTCGACCTTGGACAGGTCCGCCTCATACTCAGCCATCAGCTTGTTGATGGCCGCTACAAACTGCAAAGAGTAATACGCGTTAAACACTTAGTCAGAATTTGATAAAATAAGGAGAGTAAGTAAAACATACCTTGGTGCCGCGCTGCGCCATCACGCCGTAAGACCTCGGTCTCCTCAGCTTCTCAGGAGGAGAAAGACGCGTGTTAGCATTGTTAACACGCGAGAACATCACCGCCGAGGCGTCTGGGTCGTCGACAACCAATTTACGCGAAGCGGGATCTCCGGACGCCGGTTTGCGTTTCTTCTTAGGCGGCTCGTCTTTTTGAACAGCCACGCCTTTCCCCTTATTAGCGGCCGAACGTTTTCGGCCGGAATCGTGCTTCTGAAGCTGCGAAGCCGGGGGCTTCGAGGACTTCGGAAGAGCCAAAATGGCGGAGTTGGAAGGAGTTTTACTCCGTGCCGCGGAGTCGTCTTTGGGCGTCTCGGGAGTGATTTCACCCGGTTCCACCTCAGGCGCCGCTTCTTTCTCGTTCGCCTCGGCAACGTTTGTCCCCACAGCTCGGGATGCGCCCTCACCATCATGGCTCGGCGGAACGTCTTGAGGAACAGCCTCGGCCTCCGTTTGAGCCGCCTCAGCGGCTCGTCTTACAGCTTCTTCTTCTTTACACCTCTTCTTATCTCTAAGAGTAATGATCACCATTTTCTCCCTTGTGTCCTGTGAGGAATTTGAAGACGAAGAGCTAACAGGAACTCCGTCAAGAATGGCTCGCGCTCTTTCCACTCTCTCGAATGTAAAATGCTTCCTCCAATTAACTCTCCAAGCCGCAAGAGAATCTCAGACAACAAAGAGGTCGTCGGGAATTGGGGGAAGAATGATCCGAACTACAAAAACAACACGAAAACAATCAGCTCAGTAAGGGAAGATTATATGATAACAGTTCCGAGCCGAGGCAAAGGTTCGGATCGGCTACCAAGTGGTCCCCAAGCCGACTGACGCCTCGTTCACCAAGACATAGAAGAAGCGCTCGGTCCAAAACTGATCCTTGCTTGGAAAACCACCTATGATCCGGCGGTTGGACTTGTTGGAGATGTAAAATCTATCTCCCTTCGGAGCTTTTCTGATCTCCAACAAGTTTAGCAGGTGATTCAGTTCAATATCGAGCCCGCATTCAAAGCTTCGAACCAGAATACCGATCATGTGTCGCAGACCCCTCCGCATTGTTAGAATATTTAGAGACTAAGCGGAATAAAGAGATTTGAGAGAGTGTGCAAAAGAGATGAGAGAAAGAGTTCCCAAAGTAGTGTGTTTATTCATTCTCGTCTTTGATACATATATAGAGGAGACAGAATAGAAACTAGGTTTAGCTAAGCTACAATACAAAAGAAAGTGGTTAGAGACATAAGGAAACATGTGAGTCTTGAGCATGGATCCCGAGAGATAGTGACAGCTCCAACGGTCACAAGACCAAGTGTAAACGACGCGCCAAGGGGGGACCATTGTACGGACACCAACTCTCTTCTTCCTTAAACATCACACGTGATCCCTTGAGCCTTCTCTCCTTATTAAAGGCTAACACCGATTCAAGCCCTAAAGCATAGAACCTTTCTTGACCAATACTCCCCCTCAAGCTTAGCTATCGAAGTTGTTTAGATTGCTAAGCTTGAAGACCCATGAGCATCACCTCATTAAAAACCTTAACAAGGAAAACCTCATGGGACAAAACCTTGTTAAGGGAAAAAGAGTGTGATGTCCATGGATCAAGGACTATGATCAAGGGCGACTAAGGTCCACAAGTCCTAGCTTGCTAAAGAGATTGTTGCAAACTTTAAGACTTGCGGCCTTAGTGAAAATATCAGCCAACTGGTCTTCACTTCTTGTGTAACACGGTAACACCACACCTTCCTCAATCTTCTCACGGACCTTGTGGCAATCTATTTCAATAGACTTTGTTCTCTCATGAAACACCGAGTTTGTTGCAATGTGTATAGCCGCTTGGTTATCACAATGCATTGTAATCGGACCTTCTTGCTCAATGCCAAGGTCTTTAAGGAGCGCCTTAAGCCAGGTTAATTCACTTTTAAGCTTCCTCATTGCCCTATATTCAGCTTCTGCGGTTGAGCATGAGACCACCTTTTGCTTCTTAGTCTTCCAGGTTACAAGATTTCCACCAATGAAAGTACAATACCCACTTGTTGACTTTCTATCAACACGATCACCAGCCCAATCTGAGTCGCAATATCCCACAATCTCTGTATTATTGTTCTTTCCCATCCAAATGCCTTGTCCTGGACTCCCTTTGAGGTATCTGAGAATTCTTTCCACCATACCCCAATGATACACTGTCGGAGCTTGCATATGTTGGCTTACTTGATTCACGGCGAAGCAGAGATCTGGCCTTGTGAGAGTGAGATAGATCAGTTTGCCAACAAGTCGTCGATACCTAAATACATCCTTGAAGGCTTCATCTGATTTCTCCCCCTTTCGATTGACTTTGTAGCCCTCTTCAAGCGGCGTTTTGGCTGGTTTAGCTCCAAGTTTTCCTGTCTCTTTGAGAAGATCAACTGTGTATTTCCTCTGAGACAGAAAGAGACCCTCAGGAGACCTACACACCTCAATGCCAAGGAAATACTTGAGCTCGCCGAGGTCTTTAATGTCGAATACCGAGTTAAGAAAGGCTTTTGTAGACTGAATTCCCTCCTTGTCATCTCCAGAAATGATAAGATCGTCTACATAAACAAGAACAACCACCAGACCTTGAGAACTTTGGAGGGTAAACAAAGTAT